AGTGGTCGTAGGACTAACCGTTAGAATAAAAGTAGTAGTGGTAGTAGTAGTGGTAGTACTAATGGTAGTAGTAGTAGTAGTAGTAGTAGTAGTAGTAGTAGTAGTAGTAGTAGTAGTAGTAGCCGTAGTAGTAGTAGTAGTAGTAGTAGTAGTAGTAGTAGTAGTAGTAGTAGTAGTGGTAGTAGAAGTACTAGTAGTAGTGGTAGTAGTAGTAGTAGTAGTACCCGTTTGAATAGTAGCGGTGGCCATAGTCGTAGTAGTAATACTTGTAGTAATAGATGTAGAAGTAGTCCTACCAGTAGTGATAGTGGCAGTACTAGTACACAAAATATTAGAAGTAGTAGTCGTCGTCGTCGTGGTCGTAGTAGTAGTAGAAGTAGTAGTAGTCGTAGTAGCCGTAGTAATAGTAGAAGTAGTAGTAGAAGTCGTAATCGTAGTAGTAGTAGTAGTCGTAGTAGTAGTAGTAGTAGTAGTAGTAGTAGTAGTAGTAATAGTAAACGTGGTCATGGAAATAATGATCGTCGTCGTAGTAATGAAAAAAATCGTCGACGCAGTAATGGTACTAATCGTAATCGCACTCGGTGCCGTACCCGTAGTAGTCATAGTAGTGGTAGTAGTAGTAGTAGTCATAGTAGTAGTAGTAGTAGCAGTAGCAGTAGTAGTAGTAGTAGTAGTAGTAGTAGTAGTAGTAGTCGTAGTAGTAGTAGTGGTAGTAGTAGTAGTAGTAGTAGTAGTAATCGTAGTATTCATAATCGTAGTCGTAGTAGTAGTAATACTAATACTAATGCTACTAGTAGTTGTAGTATTACTAGTAGTAGTAGTAGTAGTAGTAGTAGTAGCAGTAGTAGTAGTAGTCGTAGTAGTAGTGGTACTGGTCGTAGTCGTAATGGTAGAAGTAATGGTCGTAGTAGTAGTAGTAGAAGTCTCAGTAGTAGTAAAAATAGCCATAATGGTAATTTCAAACGCAGACGCAGTCGTACCAATAACCGTAAGGTCGTAGCCGCAGTAGTCGCAGTCGTCATAGTGCAAGTAAGAGTAGTAGTCGTAGTCGTAGGCGTAGTAGTGTCAGTAATCGAAATTATGTTTTGTCGTAACCGTAATGGTGAATGAACTAATCTCAGTAGTATCTGAAGTAGTAGTAGTAGTAGTAGTAGTAGTAGTAATGGTAGTGGTAGTGGTAGCAGAAGTAGTCGCACTAGTAGTAGCAGTGATAGTAGTAGTAGTCGTAGTAGTAGTCGTAGTCGTTGGAATAGTAGTAGTAGTAGTAGTAGTAGTAGTAGTAGTAGTAGTAGTAGTAGTAGTAGTGACAGTAGTCGCATGTGTAGTGGTACTCGTAGAAATCGTAATGGTAGTAGTGGTAGTAGTAGTCGTCGTCGTAGTAGCGGTCGTGCTGATAATTCAATTGAGTTGTAGTAGTAGCAGTCGCAGCCGTAGCAGGAATAGTCATCGTAGTAACGTAGTGATAGTCAGGGTGAGGGTAGTAGTAGTAGTCGTAGTAGTAGTAGTAGTAGTAGTAGTAGTAGTAGTAGTAGTAGTAGTGGTAGTAGTCGTAGTAGTAGTAATAGTAGTAGTAGTAGTAGTAGTAGTACTACTAGTAGTAGTAGTAGTCGTAGTAGTAGTAGTAGTAGTAGTAGTAGTAGTAGTAGTCGTAGTAATGGTAGTAGTGGTAGTAGTTGTAGTAATGGTATGGTAGTAGAAGTAACAATAGTAGTAGTAATAGTAGTAGTAGTAGTAGTCGTCGTCGTCGTCGCAATAGAAGGTCGGACTGGAAATCGTAAACCGCATCCGTAGTCGCAATAGTAGTACAAGTAGCAATAATGATACATAGTCGTAGTAGTCGTAGTAGCAGTTGTAGTAGTAGCAGTAGCAACAGTAGTGGTAGTAGTAGTAGTGGCAGTAACAGTAGTTTTAGCAGTAGTCGAAATAGTCGTAGAAGTATAAGTAATAGTAGGAAGTGGTGGTAGGCATAGCGGTAATAGTAATAGTAGTAGTAGTAGTAGTAGTAGTAGTAGTAGTAGCCGTAGTAGTAGTAGTAGTAGTACTAGTAGTAGTAGTAGTAGTAGTAGTAGTAGTAGTAGTAGTAGTAGTAGTAGTAGTAGTAGTAATAGTGGTAGTAGAAGTACTAGTAGTAGTGGTAGTAGTAGTAGTAGCAGTAGTAGTGGGAGTCGTAGTGACAGTAGTCGTAGATGTACGAATGGTAATAATAGCAGTAGTCCTCGCAGTCGTAGTAGCAATCGTGACAGTAGTAGCAGTAGTGGTAGTAGTAGTAGTAGTAGTAGTGGTAGTAGCAGCAGCAGTAGCAGCAGTAGTAGTAGTAGTAGTAGTAGTAGTAGTAGTGCTAGTGGTAGTAGTAGTAGTAGTAGTAGTAGTAGTAGTAGTAGTAGTAGCAGTAGTGAAAGGAGTAGTAGCAATAGTAGTCACAGTAGTAGCCGAGGTAGTCGTAGTAGTCGTAGTAGTAGTAGTAGTAATAGTAGTAGTAGCAGTAGTAGTAGTAGTAGTAGTAGTAGTAGTAGTAGTAATAGTAATAGTAGTAGTAGTAGTAGTAGTAGTAGTAGTAGTAGTAGTAGTAGTAGCACTAATCGTAGTGGTAGTAGTAGAACTAGTCGTAGTCGTCGCAGCAGTAGTCGTAGTAGTAGTCGTAGTAGTAGTCGTATTAGTAGTAGTAGTAGTAGTAGTCGTAGTAGTAGTAGTAGTAGTAGTAGTAGTAGTAGTCGTGGTAGTAGTAGTAGTTGCAATCGTATGCTAGCAGTTACAATAGTAGTAGTAGCACTAGTAGTAGTAGTAGTAGTAGTCGTAGTAGTAGCAGCAGTAGTAGTAGTAGTAGTAGTAGTAGTAGTAGTAGTATTAGTAGTAGTAGTTGTAGTAGTAATATTACAAGTAGTAGTAGTAGTAGTAGTAGTAGTAGTAGTAGTAGTAGTAGTAGTAGTAGTAGTAGTAGTAGTAGTAGTAGTCGTACTGGTAGTAGTCGTAACTATAGAAATAATCTCGGTAGTAGAAGTAGTAGGAGGCGTAGTAGTACTCGTATTAATACTGGTACTAGTAGTAGTGGTAGTAGTAATAATTGTAGTAGTCGTGTGGTAGTAGTAGTAGTAGTAGTCGGAATTGCAGTCTTAGTCGTAGTAATGGTAGTAGTAGTAGTAGTAGTACTACTACTACTACTACTACTACTATTAGTGGTCGTGGTAGCAAGTAGTAGTTGTAGTAGTAGTAGTAGTAGTAGTAGTAGTAGTAGTAGTAGTAGTAGTAGTAGTAGTAGTAGTGGTAGTAGTAGTAGTGGTAGTAGTAGTAGTAGTAGTAGTAGTAGTAGTAGTGGTAGTAGTAGTAATAGTAGTAGTAGTAGTAGTAGTAGTAGTAGTAGTAGTAGTAGTAGTAGTAGAGGTCATGGTAATCGTAGTAGTAGTAGTAGCAATAGTAGTAGTATTACTGGGAGGAGTAGAAATATTGGTAGTCGTCGTAGTGGCGATAATAGTGATAGTAGTAGTAGCAGTAGTAGTAGTAGTTGTTGTTGTAGCAGTCGTAGTAGTACTAGTAATCGTCGTCGTAGTAGTACTGCTCGCAGAAGTAATAATTAGAAGTAGTAGCCGTAGTCGTGATAGTTGTAATAGTAGTAGTAGTAGTAGTAGTAGTAGTAGTAGTAGTAGTAGTAGTAAGAAGAAGAATGGTCGTAGTATGGTAGTAGTAGTAGTAGTAGTAGTAGTAGTAGTAGTAGTAGTAGTAGTAGTAGTAGTAGTAGTAATCCGCCGACCCCAGAGGCGTGTGAGGGAGAGTGCGTGCTAGAGCCATTCATCGTGAGCTTCTCCTTTCAAGCAGCCACCGACCGATGCCCTCCTCCTGGCTCCCTCCCTTGGAACCTCTGTTCTTGGGCCCCCCTTTCCCCCGCCCCACCACTTCTCGCCCAAAACCGACCGATACCCCCAACCACGCTCCCCACCACGCTCCTGCCACGCTCCCACCACGCCCCGGCATCCTCACCCCCAGGCTTCTGGGCTCTGTTCTTGAGACCCCCGACCCCCCGATTTCTCGTCGAAAAACGACCGACGCCTTCCACAATGACCCCCTCGTGGCCCCGACACCCTCAAAGTTTCTGGGCTCCGTTCTTGGGGCCCCCGACCTCACGATTTCTCGCCCAAAAAACGACCGACGCCCCCACCATGACCCCCTCCTGGCCCCGACACCCCCAGGCCTCTGGGCTCTGTTTTTGGGGCCCCCGACCCCACGATTTCTCGCCCGAAATCGACCCATACCCTCCACCCCCCCACACCCTGGCCGCCACCTCGCCCCCACCTGGCCCCGACACCCCCAGGCCTCTGGGCTCTGTTCTTGAAACCCCCGACCCCACGATTTCTCGCCCGAAATCGACTC